AGCAGCGCTCCTTCAGAAAACGAAAAGTAGAGAACCCGCAGCACTAAGGCAAATAACCAAACAGTCGGTATGAAAAAGACAAGGCTGAGGCTCTGGCAAGTGTATCGCAACTAACATGCAGCAGTCATGAGTTGTAGCCACAAGAAAACAAATACGATGCAATTTCTATGATTAATTTGTTTTACAAAAACATTGCATGTGGCCCAGAATATGTATGCACTTGTTGTGACCAATAACGTGGTTCAAGTGCTTTGTAGTGAAATGTGATGCAAACAAATATAGGGCATGTTCACTAGACATTGCTGAGTCCTGTCTTACTGGTTTTAAAAGTGTTAATGACACTGCATGGATCTGCATGACTTGCAGTAAAAAAAAGTCAAAAAAAAAAAAAAGTCTAAAAAACCAATTGTCTAACTTGCAATAAAAAAGTTCTAAAACAAGGCAGGTTACCCAGCTGTTCTAAAGCCAATAAGATGCGTTTTCCTTATAAACCTAATGTTCATATCACTAGAAGAGCGACTAATATCACTTCGTAGATCTTTTATGCAAATCCGTGAACTACCTAGGGGTGGTCAATTGTCTATTCATGGAAACATTGTCAATGTGATGTAAATCCAACTGTTTATTGTCTCCCAAGGCCAATAAGTGAATCACAGACCATTCCAATAAAACTTAAAAGGCGACATGGTTACAAGCATCACTATCAGTTTCAGAATGTCAGACCCGAGAAAGTATTAGATGCAGCCAAATATCTTGTAGACACTAGTGAATTATTTAAAACTGAAGGCATAAAAGTGCAAAATTCATGGGTAGATGGCATAACTTCACAATCAAGCACAATCAAGGGGTGAGTTTGTTCAAAACCCTAACACATCCAGTGCTGAAGTGCAAACTTATGAAATTGTCACAAATTGTCAAAACAATATTTGCACAGCTGATGTTCATAATCCAGACAGAGAAAAATACACTGAAGGATTATGTTTCCTGTCAAAATGTTATATATATTAGATGAAGACCTTATTTCTATAAACATGCCCAGCTAATGGCTGCTTATTAACATGATGCACTTTTCAACTAAAACACCTTACAAATGGAACACTTCTTACAGTAGTTCCAAAAGAGACAAAGGACAACACTTCATAAAATAATTACCACATACCGTGAGGTAGCTCGAACGAGCCTTTGATTCTGGTTGAGCTGGAAAATAGAGTGAAAAGGTAAGATGATGCGTGTATCCGCAGTTTTTAGGGATTTCTGGTAGATGGACGCTGCTTTTTTGAACGATACTTTATCAGAAAAGAATCTCAGAGAGTCGTTCATTAATAGCGGAGCTCCGGCGGCCCAAAGCCAAGCGGAGCCCCATACCCATATAGGAGAGAAAAGGAAACCCGTAAATGGATTTTCTCATGGTTATCGTGGCTAGCGGTATTGCTCGTGGGCGCGTAAGCACGACGTAGACGACTACGACGACCACCACCACGACCACGACGGAGTTGCGCAACATGGCGGCCACACTTTAAATAATAGGTTGACAGGGACATGCAGACTTGGTTTACCGTGGGCGCTTTCCATTCAACCAAAAATTCTGGTGAGAATTTCCCGAAATTTCCATGGGCGAATGGAACAGACTTTTCCAGTGTGGAAAGCGACAAGCCGCACAGTTTTGTTGGCTTGGAATTTTTCAATGACTTCGAGGTTTAAATCGCCAGTATAGAAGTAAACAGAATACTGATATGTCGACATCGTGACTTTTTATAGACACAACAGCATGGACCTTGTACAAACCACAACGGTGCGTAACGAAAACGTCGCAAAACAAAGGGTTTAATGAGTCGTACAATGGTTCTGCACGCGTTATAAGTTTTTGTACATTTCTTAGCCAACCTATGCAAACAGACAAGTACACCACAGTGGCATTATTTTTTTAAAAAACGCTTTTTTCACGAATTTAGCTGTAACTAGTATTTATCGACATATAAGTGGAAAGATTCTAAAGTATTTCAGTTTTCGAACACGCGTCGCCGTCATTCTTGTGTGAGATGTCCAACTCGCTGTCATCGCGACCAAAAGAACTAGCGCTGAATAGAAAATTGCGAATTTGCATAATTTCCGAAAAAGAGGACAACCTCGTGAGGTATACCCAAATTTTCGAACATATTTTCCTGGAAAATTCCGTTCCATTTGATTTTCAACCGGAATTTCCAGAATTTTCGGTTGAATGGTTTGCTTTTAGGAAATTCAACAATTTCCGGATTTTCTGGAACTTTTCCCTGGAAATTTCCGTACCATTTGTCCCCGTTTCAAAAATTTCGGAATTTTTGGTCGAGTGGAAAACGCCCAGTGTCCTTCTTTGATAGTAGACATACATCTTATGACCAACTGACATCTGTCAAAACAATGTATCCGCTGACCAGCAACACGTGACCATATCGCGGGCTCAAGTTTAGAGCTCATCGACGTCACGTGTTTTTTGGAAGTTTACCGCTGACCAAGTACAGTTTTTGATTAGATCGTAGGCTCATGTCAGGCCAATTTGTTGAAAACAGGACCGGGTTGTTTGGAAGCTGGTTAACGCTAACTCAGGACTAGAAGTTAATCGTTTTCACAGCTTTTGTTTTGTGTTAAAACTCAAAACAGAACGCCAATATGCGCCAATAATGCGCTAGAAATAAATTATTATTATTATTATTATTATTATTATTATTATTATTACTATTATTAAAACCTCACCACAAAGTTACAAAACTCAAATCAAAATTCTACCCAAACCTGGGTTAGCTTAATCGGGCTCTGAACAACCCGGTCCAGGAGCTACGCTTTTAGGCTGGCCTAAGTCTATGTATTAGATTGTGGGATGGTGTCGATAATACGCGGCGGGTGATTAGATTTCTTGTTGACATAGGGCCGAATGTTATTACGTTTGTTATGACATGTGTTTACCATTGGAGAGATTAAGAGTGACATCAAGGAAGTTTACGACTTTTTTTGTTGGCTTCAATCGTGATTTTAAGGTCATGCTT